CTGACACTCCCGTCCCGATTATCCCAGTCACTGAATCAATCCACCTCATAGAGGGTCTTCCCCTCCTGCGCTGTCCCTCCACCCTCCCAAGCATGGTGTCCCTCTCCAAGGACCTGTCTCTCCTTACAACATGTCCAAAGTATGTCAGATGAAGCCCCAGAGGAGAGGAAGGAAAGGCAGAAAGAAGAAAGGCAGGGGGGCAAGTTGGGAAAGGGAAGAATGGCTGGAGGTCCAGCTAGAAGGGCAGGGAGCAAAGGAAGCGTAGAGGCCTGGATATCTCCTGTGGATCAGCTCCCTCCCATACTGACCATTTTATTTAAGTTCATTATTTCTCTTCCTGTTTTCTTTTTTTAAAAAAAAAAAAACAACAAAAAAACAAAAAACAAAAAACCAAACAAACCACACAACAACCACCAAGTAGACATTTTTTGTTCCTTATTTATAATCTCTTTGCTTAGCAATTCTATCGAGATAGAATACACATGCCATTCTGCATTCAAGCCTTTAAACGGTGTAATACAGTACATTTTCAGGTACTCAGAATGGAGAAACCACCACCAGTAACAACTGTAGAACACTGTCCCCACTCAGAACCAACCCCAAGCCTGGTAGCCATCAGCAGCCACTCCTCTCCCCTCCAGCACCCTTCAAGGCCCTTGTTGTTGTTGCTGTGGAGTCAGGATCAGCTCATAGCTGACCTCCCATTGGGTTTTCAGAGGCTGTAAAGCACACGGAGGAGACGGCCCATCTTTCTCCCATGGAGTAGCTAGTAGATTTGAACCATGTGCCTTTAAATTGGCAGCACAATTCCTTATCATTGGTACTCCCTTTCAAAGCCACAGGGACAAAGAGACCACTTAATGACTCCATAGATTTGTCTTTACTGCGCAGATCTTTCATGTAAGTGGAATCATACAATACAGCCTTTTTAAATTTTCTTAAATTTTTTTATTATTTTATGTGTGTGTACTAGTCCCTCCTTCTCCAGCAGAGCATCTGGTGGATTCGAACTGCATGCCTCTGGGATGGCAGTGCAGCTTCTTGCCACTAGGCCACCAGAGCTCCCCTAATACAGTCTTTTTGTGCCTCTTTAACTTCAACTCAAAACTCATTGCCATCAAGTCAGAACCAACTCACAGCTGAGCCTCCAGTGAGTTTTCAGAGGGTATAAGTCTCATGGGAGAAGACTGCTCATCTTCCTTCCACAGAGAGGCTGGTAGATTTGAATCACCTGCTTTGGGGTGGCTGTGCCACTCTTCACCCACTAACTATGCCACCACATCTGCCGTAATATTTTCAAGACACATTCATGTCATGACATATTTCAGAATTTAATTTTTCTTATTGAATAATGTTCCTTCGCATAGCTATACCTACAGTTTGTTTCTCTGCTGTCAAGGACCTTTTTATAATGCTAAAGAGCAAAGATTTCAGTTTAAAGACTAAGGCGTAGCCAACCCAAGTCATAGTATTTTCAATTGCTTCTTATGCATGTGAAAGTTAGACAATGACCAAGGAAGACTAGGTAAGAACTGATCTTTTAATTGAGGTGCTGGCAAAAAGTACTGACTATACCATGGACTGCCAAATATACCGTGGACTCCCTAATATGCCACCTATTGCCAGAATGCCGTGGGGTGCCAAATGAGCTAACACGTCTGTCTTGAAGGAGGTACAACCTTAGAGGCAACAAGGGCGAAAGGTCATCTCACATAGTTTGGGTATGTTGTCAGGAGGGACAGCATTTGGGAAAAGACATCCACCATGCTAGGAAAAGGAGAGACTTAACAAGAGAAAGAGAAAGATCTCCATGAAATGGACTGACACAAGGGGCTTGACTATGACAATGAACTTGAGTACGGTGGAAATTTAAAAAAAAAAGGGCACAGAAAGAGCAAAGTTTGATCTGTTGTTCAGAGGGTCATAATCAACTTGATGGCACCTAATAGTATTTTATTTTATTGTTTCATCTCTGTTAACACCTAGATTATTTTCACTTTTTTGGTTATTATGAAAGCCACTGCTGTAGAGAATCATGTATATATTTTAGGTGAACATATGTTGAAATTCTCTTGGGCATATACTGAGGAATGGAATTGTTGGGTCCCTTGATAACTCCATTTAAGCTTATGAACAAATAAAAACCCGTTTTCCAAAGCAGCAGCAACGCTGTCCACTCCCTGCAGGTGGTGTGTAATTCATCCATTATCTCCACATCTCACCATCGTCTGCCTTTTGTGTCACCGTCATCCTGTGAGACGAAGTGCTATCTCCTTTTCATTGTGATGCACATTTTCCTAATGACTGACAAAGCTGAGAATCTTTTCATAAGTTTATTGTCCACTTGTGTATCTCTTTGAAGAAATGCCTTTAAAAATCCGATGTCTATTTTTAAAATTGAATGTCTTTTTACTGCGAGTTGTAAGAGTCCTTTATATATTACAGATACAATAGGCTTATTTTTCCCTTCTCTACTTCCACCATGATTTCCTAAATTCTCAAATTCTCAGACTTCATAATATCCATTATTGCAGTGCTGGTTGAGATTCTAAGGAGTATTTCCTGTTGAGCTGAACAATATGTTCTTAGCAAAATATCATGTGATTTGATTGGCAAAAAGGTATGCCACTTTTCCACAGATGGCTTCCACAGATATATTGATAATGTAAAAATTTTAGCATCCATCGTATTGACTTAAACACCTTTCCTTCAAGTTCATTCCTCCTTGACAATTTGTTGAAAGGGCAGTACAGTGAACACTCACATATATACCCCTGGGAGCTATGCCTATTAATATTTTTATACATCTGGCTGTAGTTTACATATCCTTTTATCAATTAATGGATAACGGAGTTAGGTTTCATGAACTTATTATAGCAAGTTTAGTTTTTCAAATGAAAATGAAAGTATTTCTGCCAAACACTTCCTATTTAGCAATTTTACTTACAGCTTGCTTTATTAATGATTAGGTAGATAATACCTAAGGTATTATCACACCCCTAAAGTGTCTGTGATTCCACATTAAAAATGTAGAGAAATAGGCTATGAGCCAAGTATAAATATACCAGGTATCCTATCAACATTCCAATACAAATTTGCCCTTTTGAGTTCATTGTTGTTGTTAGGTGCTTTTAAGTACAACTCATAGAGACCCTATGAACAGTAGATCTAAACCCTGACCTATTTTGTGCCATCTTCAACATCTCTGATATCTCAACCAGGAAAGACCCTCAGATGGATTGACACAGTAACTGCAGCTGTGGATTCAAGTATGTTTGAGTCAATTATGAACATCTAAAATAGAAATGTTTATGGGTTGGGTGACACCAGAAAAATCTACTTAGCATTTCCTAATTAGTATGATTTCGCTTTATCATTTGATATCTTTGAGCCAGAGTAATGACACGATGGCAATCAGAGAGCAGAGTAATCAGGGCAAGTACTTATGTCATAGAAAAGTCTAAGAAAACCCAGGTGAAAACAGTTTTGTAGATAAAGTCCATCCACCTCAAAGAGTATTCGGGGTAGTACCGAATATGTCTGCAGGCTTTCTCCTACGTCTGCCTTCACTAATTCTGAGGGCTGATCATGTTTTCACCTTCCAATAGAATTCAAACCTTTTAAATACACTAGCAAATATAACTCTTTCTCATGCATTCCCAGGGCTACAGAGTTGGGAATCTGGCTGATAATAAATTCTGCCTCAGTTGACATCCAAGCTGAAATGACATTTCCAGATGTGGGATCACCCAAGGTATCTGCTTCCCAAGAAAAGGTTAAGCAACCTTGGCTCTTCAGATCTAAGATTAATTCAGGTCTTGCAGTGAGTAGCTCTTCTTACAAACCCAGACACCAGAGTTGATTCTGACTCATGGTGACCCGCCACAGAGTCTCCAAGATTTCTCCATCTAATTGCAGGAGGCGGATCCATCTTTCTCCTGTTGAACCACTGCTGGAGTCAAACCACTGACCTTTCAGTTAGAAGTGAAGTAGTCAAGCACTAAACCACCAGGGCCCTTACTCCTACTATTCCTCAACTGAATGTCTTTCAATGACCATGAGCCATGACTGGATTCTAGAACTTTCCTTTATCTCCAATATCTACAGGCAAGACAACTACATAACAAGGAAAAAACCCAGCTATTATTTGGATAGGCATTATGATCCCCATTCCACAGACAAGGAAAGTGAAGCCTAGACAAATTTGAGGGGATCAGCAGAGCACAAGCTTTTTCTATCTAGGATTGCAACTGAACCCTGTTTTCATACTTCCAAAGACAGCTGACACTGGAAACAGAATCCATCATTTACTGTTTATGTGACCAGATCACCTCATCTAAGTCTCATTTTATTCATTATTTTTTCAAAAAAATTAAATTTTATCTTACTATTTTGTGTGGGTGTGCCGTCAAATCGGATCTGACTGATACAGGAGGGGACTGCCCCTCCTTCTCCAGCTGAGAATCTGATGGATTCGAACAGCGTACCTCTGGGATTGCAGTGCAGCTTCTTGCCACTAGGCCACCAGAGCTCCCTTATTCATTTTTAAAGTAAACATGTAATTGTTCTGAAAGTCATCTCCCACACACTGTGATATGTGATGAAATAGAGTAGAATGATAATAGAATATAAACAATTTAAGAATGCGACAGGTACATATTAGGGACTTAAAAAGGGTTGGCTATAACTACTATTGTTTCCCCAAGTTCAGAGTTTCCGGAGGCATGCTGTTTAGGAAGCAGATGCCTCTCCTGCTTCCAAACAACAATATCATTATTATTAAAACTACTACAGCTGCTATCTGATGGCACACTTCCGGGAGAGTTGAGCGACTGTTCTAAAGACCACATCACTTTTGGCTGTTTGAATCCACCAGCAAGCAGCTCTTCAGGAGAGAGATGGACCATCTCTTTCTGTGTGATTGATAACTCTGGAAACCCAGCAGAGGGTCTGTTATGAGTTAGTTCCAGGGGAGCTCTGGTGGCCTAGTGGTAAAAAGCTGCACTGCCAACTCAGAGGCACATGGTTCGAATCCACCAGCTGTTTCATAAGAGCAGGATGGACAATCTCCTCTTGAACAATTTACTGCCTCTAAAAACCTACTGGAGGTTCAGCTATGGGTCAGTTCTGACTTGATGACACACAACAACAACAACAGTAAAACTAGTTGCCATTCAGTTGCTTCTGACTCCTGAGGACCCGCTGTGTCAGCACAAAACTGCGCTCCACTGGGTTTTCAGTGGCTGATTTCTCCAAAACAAAGCACCAGGCTTGTTTCTTTTGAAGTCCTTCTGGGTGGACCTGAACTTCCAACCTATCAACTGGCAGCCAAGTGTATTAACTGCCCCGCCCAGGGCTCCCGTCCAACTGCCAGCACTCTTCCTATGCCATTTACACCCCTGTGGGACATCGTCTGGGTTCTCTCTCTTTTTTCTCCTTGGCTCTTGTACAGCTCACATCTCCATTAGCCAGGTTGAGTGGATAGTTCTTGTGTAGATCACACCGTGGAAACACTTCCTTGATCTGTCCACTGTGGAGATGCAGCTGAAACAGGCGGGCAGACTGCAAGACTGGGTGCAAACTGGGAGCTTTCTGGACAATGTCCACTCACAATGGGATACCGCCTTTCTTCTGGTCTGCAATCTAACATTTAGGCTACATGATACATGGACAGGACCACCACTTTTCTTCATATTCCATTAAAATTTCCCATTTAATTTAAACAAGGTCATTACACACTAACATTCTATCACATGTCCAAGTATATTACAGAGCCGACAGCTGGCTGTGACCACAGAGCATAGGGCAGCTGAGCAGGAAAGGCATCCTTCTCTACACATATTTTTGCCGTGACAATTTGCGAAAACACCAAGCAATTACAATGCCGATGTATTTATATCTCAACCAGAACTACACACGTTATCTACAGACCAAAAGAGGAACGGGAGCAGATGTCAAGCACAGCCACACGCTGGTACAGCCCACCATGGCGGGAGACAAGGTCACAATTTACACCTGAAGCCTGCTCCGAGGCTCTTACCTACTGCACGCCTTCTGCATTCTCGTCTGTAGTCCTCATATGCCAGACTCCATACCTGCTCTTTACCAGAAGAAAGCAAGTACCCTTCCTAACTAATGTTTTTGACTTTTACAATGAGACAGAGCCACAAGCCCATTTCCTTTTGCGGTTTCAAACTTGACTGAACTTCACCGGAAACAATGAACTCCAGAGCGAGGAACTTGTCTCTCTTCAGTTCTATCCCCGTCGCAGAAGTGTGAGGACCTTAACTCCAGCTGCTTGAAATACTAATTTTATTTAGAGAAAAATAATAGGAGACAAGCCTGCTGTAGGTACATGCCAATGCTCACTTCACACTTCAACATACAAAGTTTCTAGAAACACTAATTGTTCACTCTGCTTCCTTGTGTTGTTTTTACCTAATTCTTAATCTGCTCACAGGTGTGAGATACAGCTTTGCAGCAGATCATGTGACCAGCAACAGCTTTTTGAAATGCATTTTCAAAGAGACTGTTGCTTAGATATGTCCAAATCTGGGGTGCTGCTTCACACAAGAACTCAAAATTTAACCACTAACAATAGCCACCAATTTCTCCAAAACAAGACGTCTGTGTGATCATAATCTCATTAAATACAACATTGCTTCTGAAATCTCGTCATTAGTTCACATGTGGGGGGACATGAGTAGAAAGACTGAAAACAAATGCCCTCAGACTCGTCTAAATTGCTAAAAATACATAGCAAATGCTAAGCTCTTCTAGGTAACAAAGATACAAAGATGTGGGGGTTTTTTGCCCTCAAGAAATTTGTAGATCGTTGTTGTTGTTGTTGTTGTTGTGTGCCGTAGAGTCAGAACAGACCCACAGCTGACTCTCCCATGGGTTTTCAGAGGCAGTTTAATCTCACAGAAGGAGATTATCCACATTTCCCCTGTAGAGCAGTGGATGGATTCGAAACACAAGCCTTTGGGATTACAGCACAGCTCCCTACCACCAGGCCACCAGAGCGCCCCACTAGTATCACGTTGCTGTTGTTGTTGTTGTCTTTGTGTCAAAACCGAGTGACTGATAGCCGACCCAACAGTGAGCTTTCAGAGATAATAAATCACACAGGAGGAGACTGTTCACCCTTCTTCTGGGGAGCAGCTGGTGGACTGAACCACATGCCTTTGGGATTGAATCACAGCTTCTTATCTCTGTCTAGGCCACCAGAGCTCCCTGGTATCAGGTTAGAGACATTAAAAACTCTTCAGTGCCACATAATAACTCTGGGCATTGGGGGTTCACAGGATTTGGACAATACAGGAGGGGAGAATCTTGAAAACAGGTACGTGGGGATTGTAGGATAGGAAAGATGGCGGGTTTGGAAAGAAAACTAGAGCCAATGTTGCAAGTGTTAACTCTCTGAGGGCCCTCGCCATGTCCTCTTTGACTCAGTTTGCCTTCTCACTGCTTTACCACCAATCTTTGCCTCCCACTTCCGACTCAAAGCTCAGCCTCTTTTAGCTATTGTGGACAGAAAATTCATTGTCATTTTGGTTCCAACGAGGAAGGGTCCAAAGGCGAGTCAAGCCGCTGGGGATTCTGAATCATGCCCTCAGTTTCCACATTTAAGAACAAATGCTGAGCCCGGAGCCCATCTTACCTGGTGGCAGACTTCTTCCCACTGCCTTTGCAGAAGCTCCACGCGCTCGCTGAGGACCGCAATGTCCTCCGCACTGATGGCGGCGGAGAGGGTGTCCTTCAGCAGCGTCAACTGCCTCAAGTCTTCTGTCCAGCTGCCAACAGCACCCTCTAGCTCCTAGATTACAAAAATATGTATATATTAAAAAGAAAATCTTGAGTACCCACATCTCTCTTTAAGTTTCTCAAGTGTATCTGTTACAATCCTCTTGACATAATTTCTTTTCATTCTGTTCTACTTGACATGAAATACAGGATCTACTTTACATAACCTGATAATTTGTTTCGCTCCCTCACTCACTGAGTTGGCAATGCCAGATAGCTGATTCTCCAATGGACCTTCAGAAGCTGTAAACGACACAGGAAGTGAATGTCTATCTTCCGCAGGGCAGCTGTTGAGTTCGAACCACTTGCCTTTGGATTGGCAGCACCACTCCCTCTCCACAAGGCCACCAGGGCCCCTGATCATTTGTCTAGCTCTTCTTAGAAACTACCAGCTAGCTTCTCTTTTATGTATCTCTTTGATTTTTCCCATAGCTTCTTGAATTTTCAGTTCTGTCTTGATCTTCATGTTAAACTGATTTTATAAATTTGAACCTATCTTTTCATTTTGTACCAGGTTATAGACCATGACAAGGAAAGATTCTTTTTCCAAAAATAAAATATTTAACATTTCGAAAGTTTATTTAAAAACCTACCCCCAGATTTGGCTTTCACTCTCAGAGACTACAAACGGTTCCATTCTGTGGTATATAATTTAACAGCTGAGAAGATCTATTGCTGTTATTATTCAATTTGAAATAGCAGTTTAGATCCTTTTTTTTTTTTTACAGGAGCAGAGAATAGTTTTAGAGAAATGAAAACATGTGTGTGTGTGTGTGTGTGTGTGTGTGTGTGTGTGTGTGTGTACACACAGTTGTTTTGTACTATTGAGTCAGAATTGACCATATCTGACCCTCTGGGAGGTTTTCAGAGGAAGTTAATCGCATGAGAGGAGATTGCCCATCCTTCTCCCACAGAGCAGCTGGTGGATTTGAATCGTGCACCCTAGGGATTGCAGCACAGCTTCTTGCTGGTAGACCACCATAGCTCTTATTCATATGTAAGACATAATTATATATACATGTGATGTGTCGTATATCTTCAAGTCCTAACTGACCCTCCAGTGGGTGTTCAGAAGCAGTGAACTGCACAAAAAGAGACTGTCCATCCTTCTTGTGCAGAGCAGCTGGACGACTCAAAATGCATGCCATTGAGCTAGCTCAAGTTCACATACACACATGCCCCTCAAACCTACTGCAGTCAGGCCAATTCAAATGATGACTTTATTCGGTTAATCGACAGCTTATATACGGTGCTGTTGTTAGGTGGTGTCGAGTGTGACTCACGGTGACCCAATGAATTACAGATCAGAACTCGTTCCTGTCCTGTGTCATCTTCATGATCGAGACACACCGATACACTCAAGACCTTTGCTGTTTCAATCCATCTCATTGAGGGTCTTCTTCTCTTTTGCTGACCCTCCCCCTTATATAGTATATAAACATATATATTTCCTGTCCTATTTTGGGGTGTGGCGTCAGGATTGGTGGAAGATCTATCAACAACCTGCGTTATGCAGATGACACAAC